TAATCGCACAATGGGAAACGTTAAATTGTCAAAGAAATAATAATTATCTGGAGTCTTTCTCAAGTGCTGGCGGGGGCGTGATCAATTGCTTTGACGTGACGTCACAGCCACAGACTGCTTCTGATCGCACTCCAGCCTTTGTTGAATCTACATATTTAAAGTTAAAAATATTCTAATGTTTGATTAATTATAATTTTCACATGAACAGCATTAAAGAACCGAAAATCTGTTTCAGGTCAAATACTGTCTATAGTTTACGCGAGTAGTACACATTTAAATAAAACACTTTAACGGTTTGAAACGCGATATATTAGTTAAACTTATTACAAAATGATTTTTAACTTCGGCCCGACGTTTCGGATGCTTTGCAGCAGCCGCGGTCACGGGGAGACTAAAGATGGAGGATGTCTCTGACGTCAAAGTAAAAAATTGCTACGCTAGCGCCATCTGTTTCGTCGAAGTTGGTATTTGGCGATTCTGTTTCAGGTCTACAAAGGACCTGATATAGTATAGGAACTGAGGAAGATCCTATTCTCATTTTTTATACATTTATGATGAAGTGTTAGTGTTGAGATTGAATTATGTTTTATATTTAGTAAAAAGTCTTAGTGTTCTTGGGTGAATTTTGGTAGTAAATAAATTTTTTTCTTTCTTATTTCTATAGTCAAAATTCTGACGAAAGAAATGTTAGATTTTGTTTTCTATATATATGTTTTTATTTATTGTTCTTAGCTCCTTTTATTCACAGCGTAAATTAATAAATTATCTATCCAACACAAAACCATCAATACGTACCAGTATTTCCTGAGATTAGCGCGTTGATACTAATAAACAAACACTTGAGTTCACTTATAATGTTAGTATAGATTTATCTTAATAGATCGAACTGTTGTATAATGTTTTATATCCCGTATTACGACAGGATTGCGTGTTTGAGTTTCGTAATTTCAAATACAATTATTTTACCTACGCTCTATTAATGGAATATGATAAAATAATTAGTTGTGTGATTTGATTAATCTTTTAAATTCCATTAGTATAGGATAGTTAACATTTCGTTGATGATTTCAAAATTAATCAGATAAATCATCAACTGAGGTGTTTTTTTCTTATTACACAAGACATTAATAAATATAAGTAATACGACAGTTTACTATTTTACTTAAGTTAGTGTATGTAAGTTCTAATTTAGATTGAAAAATGTGACACGGGCGGAAATCGAATCGTCAATTTGGCTGATATAAATTCTATCGAAAATTATCTACGCAATGTTTGTACTTTACGCGAGTAGTGCACATTTATATAAGACAATTCTATCAGTTTAAAACGCGAAATATATAAGTTAACAGTTTATTTTATTTACGGCCCTTCGGTTTTAAACCGTTGTGTTTATTTTGTATCTACGCTTAACGCAACGCGTCAACCGCAATATTAAATCATACTGTAAAATATTGCACCTTGAGCAATAAATATCTGTTGTATAGCGAAGATTTATCGTTAGCCTGTAGTCTGCAATAGTGAGTGAGATAATTTGATTAATTCGTCAAAACGAGGGTTCTCGGCCGAAACCGATTCGTTCGGCGATTTATAACTCCCTTGATTTCGTTAAATCCGCACTAAGAACTGTTATTAATACTCTTTGATTTATTTCGGCGACTCCCATTAGTCTTTCGGAGGAATTGACTTCAAGCTTTAATATTTTGTAGAAGTATCATTAGTAGGGGCTCCCTCGAAAGCACCACAGCGGGGTGGTAGTGTGTTTAGTGGTTCTATTTTTATGATAATCAAGCATGAAGCTCACTTGATATTTAGTGATATAGCTTAGCCTATAGCATCTAAACAAGATGAGCTGTCAACCTGTTTGGCTTTGGATATTCGAAATCCACAGCGAAACGCGATTAAGCTTCACGACTATTGTGAAAGGTAACAGACAATACTTAGTAGATGATAGCTGGAACCTAATACCCTAATCTTGCTATTATAAAGGGGGAAATTGGCTAACCAATGGGAAGCATCCCGCAATCTTCCCAGTTATGTCCTTTATACAAATAGCTGGTTTGGATAAAAATGACACGGTGTAAAACGCTGATAACAAAAGCTATCAACGAGAAATATGGCGCCAATATAGCAGGAAAAATTACCTAAGGAAAAGGATAGTCAAACGAATCGCGTAAATTGTGACATAATTGCATAAGGGAGTGGAAAGTGTATTCTAGAAGTATTAACTTAGGGTCGATATTTGCTTGTGTTCCGTTGATCTGTGTGTAGTTAACGCGTATCACGCTTCGGATTGCTTCAGCCACGTGGAAAGCTTGATCGATTGCATTTTGTCGCGTTTCATGGTAGCTGGTGTGGCTATGAAAATTGGCTGTTAATATTATAATGCCTTATTACGGAAGCAAGTTCACGTTATTATAAGTAGCGAACGATGTGCGATATTCACATAAGACAAGTAACAAATTTAATTTATTATATATTTAAAAGAACACTTTTACCGCGAAATTTCTTACTTTAAATTTTTTAAATATGCTGGATATGAAACAGATGAACTAGTGTAACAGACTTTCATTCGACATTAGAGATACTCACCCATTCAGTCCCCCCATGACTACGGCTGATGAATAGCTAACGAAACGTCGAGCCGTAGTTTTTCAATGAATTTTCAATCAATAATTAATATACTTTGTATTTCAAACCGTCAAAAGTGTTTTATTTAAATGTGTAGTACTCACGTAAACTACAGACAATACTTACGATGAACATCTAAGTAAAGCTACTAGCTGTACCCTCAAAAGAAAATCCCTAAGCTAATGCAGATCATTACATACAATTTAATGGCCCCAATATATTTTTACAAACAGTTACAAACTTCTTCGTTTGTCACAGCGCCCTCTCACTTCCTACGCGGGAATTATAACTGACAAATTATTCGCGCATCACTAGTGACGGCCGACGTATCAAAATTCAAAACATTTAAATTTTCGACGATTCGGTTACGTAGTTATTCAGTGTCTTGTCAAACACAATTTGTATTCATATTATTCTAGCGTTGTCAAATTGAATATTTCAACGTCCTAACTATTCGGAACAGAACTAACACTGTGGGAATATTCACTTAGATTGGATGCAATGTATTTGACGATGTTGATAACGAACGTCAAAAATGATAATCGGATATGCGGTCAATTAATATCCGAGAAATAAAATTTCAAATTACTGTCTTTATAAAATATTATATCTCTTCTTCTCATACAAAAGGACAGGAAGCCTCCCTGCTGTGTTAGGTGTTAATGTTAGGTGAAATTCCTTATAACATCTAAACTAGATGTGCTATTACCTATTGACTTTGAACATTCGGAAATGTACTGTCTGAATTAAAAACGAGATTAAAAGAGGTTTTACATCTGTGGACGGGCGGTTCGTGGCCCGGAAGAAATTTCGATATGCCTACCACCATAATCTCCACACGAAGTCCAACATGTTGCAGGGTAATTATAATTTTATCATAAATTGTCTAACCAGGTGGGGATAGGACCCATGATTCTTTGATTATTAGCCATACATTTCTACCATCATCGAGCCCATCAATATATAACATATATTTAATCTTCATTGATGTATATATAGCATACATATTATGAATAAATTTATCAATATCAAAGCAAAATAAAGGTTTTTTTACAATAGTACCGTTATTTTAATTCGACGGTTTAAACAAAGCACTTTCCGAATGTCCTATTCACAATCAAGAAAGGCGAAAGACGAAAATTTATTGTTGCATTAAGTACCTGTCATTTACAAGCAAAACTGAGAACTTATTTAGTGTGTTGCATTAAAACTTTTTATGTTCGCCGATCGAAGAGCCACAGATTAGACGCAGATCCCGTTTTTACGCAGAGGTCGCGTAACTTCTTCCCTCCCTCGAATCGGCCTCGTTTGTTAAATCACCGGCGATTCCCTCTAATTACGTATAACAATTTCTTTCCGAAGTTTACGTACGCTTTTCCTCTCTCAGAAAATCGAGTCCGCATTTTTCAGACGCAAAATTCGCGTATGTTGTTTCCATATAATATTTACTATCGAATTTTATACGTTATCTTTCGTTTTACGAATCATAAAGTAAACGGGAAGTGTTTATCTAATTTATCGACGGACAAATAAAAACTTTATGGATGTAAATATTTAGTTTTATGTACTACAAGTGTATGGAAGCGACTTCGTCTATGATATAATATTTAATTAGAGCACTTTAACGGTTTAAAACACGATGTATTTGTTGCACATTTTACCAATTGCAGTATAGCTTATTTATCCGGTATTTGTTACAAACATCAAAAACAATAGGTCAATTAGAGCAACAGCACGGATCACCCGTCGCTTCAAGTCCTGCTCGTATAGTACATATTTTCCAATCAAAATATATTTTTAATTATCACACATAAACTTATTCTTGGTAGTCGCCAAGGTTTCATTATATTGTTAGTAAAGGTTATTTCAATCAGAACTGTGTAGACACATAAAACAGTTAGAAATATTATCCAATATGTCAACAGGTATTCTTGGATTTATTTATAAGGCAATAAACTTCAAGCAAATTCAACTTCTTACAAATTGATAGGCATTGTTACTCTTAATAAATTGTATAAAGTCAGTTATGTTTCTATATTCCTCGTCGCTTACAATAGTGTTTTTCGGGATTTAAGCGAACTAGCGACGACGAAAGCGCGCAACGGAATTATTTTCGCTACAACTTAAATACTTGATATATTCCCGTACACAAAATCATACTTATGCAAATATAACGCGGTGCACTGTGAAAATACTGTTTATGTGCCTGAATTATCCCTCTGAATAAACGCAGCTAGATCCTCAGCTCAAGTTAAAATATGCTTAAATGTAGAAATGTGCATTTTTTATAAAACTACCTCCTTAAACATGATAAGACCTAGCATAATTTACGCTTGTAGATTATTCCCGCATAACTTTTGTGTATTGTAAGAATGCTTGGGAGTTTAAGACTTCGAGAGTCTTTTGTTTCGGTTAGATTCCTAGACAAAGCCTTCGAGAATAAACAAGGTACAGCTCTGTTGCACCGGCTGTTGACGAACTTAAATTGTGTTTCCGAATGTTTGCTTACCAAATGAAACTAGCACTGGCTATAGAAACAATATCGTCGTAATTTGAAGACTACACAATCCTTATTTTGGAACAGACTTGTGAACTACCTTTTTTAGTATTTCTTATAAAGATATAATTATGATCTATGTCGAAGGTCCCAGAGTCAACGACATATTGTGGTCTATAAACGCACAGATAGACCAGCTTATGTAAATTAGCTAGTTAACAAACGAGTTTTTATCATTTTGACTTCTGAAAACTTTAATATATTTCACATGTTATTTGAACATGAAGTCATTATATAATTAAAAATAAAATATTTCTTTCGCAATAGGTGCATGTATGAATAAATTGATAAAAATCAACGATGAGGTGTGAGGTTGAGTCCCTCAATTGGTAGAGCAACAGCACAAAACGCTGACGATGCCGGTGTAAGGCCTGCCAGAATCGATTTTTTTTTACTACTTAGTTTTAACTTCTGTTACGAAAAAAAGTATTTGTTGCAAACGTACAAAAACGACATTCAATTGGTTAGAGAAATAGCACGAAACGCTGTCGATGCCTGTTCGAGTCCAGCCCGTAAATATTTTAAATCTAAAATCGATTTTTATTTACACAAAAGCAAGGTTTATCCTCACGTAAAATATCAAATCACAAGCGAAAGACCAACTTCGTAATAAGAATATTGTTCAAAGAAACGGATACACGCTTAGAAGGTACCTACAATATTTTGGATCTTCTTCATAACGTTATGTGAAACGTGAAATTAAATTATATTTTATTCCCTCTCATCAGAATCCTAACGACAGCTCTCGTTTTGTTTATTTTCGCGAGATTACATCCTTCATATTCTAAATAGCCTCATTTCGGACAGGGTAAATGTTGCAAAAATAGTCGTTAACATTAGCAGTATTTGTGCTGCTAATATGCTGTTATTTACTCGGAGTAATACCGTGGATTTGTGATAGCGAAGTTTTCGGAATTGCGTACCTTGTTTAAGTAAACACTATTTTATCTGCCCCAGTATCTTTTTCCAAGAAACGCTAGAATAGACTTGTTTTATTTAACAGTACATAAATACATGGAGTTTTATTATACCCTCTGTACTTGTATTTATTTAAGCAAATGAGTATTTAAAAACTATATTTAGCTCTCAAAGGTAAGTTAGAGTATGAACTCTATCATACTATTCCTCTCTCGTCAGCACTACAAAATAGTTTTGTTAATAAGGTGTAAAATCTATTTTATTTTGCCGTTTGAAAATTGTCAATTTTATAATCATTATAAATTTTGTAACATAGTTCAATGGTTTGATTTTCTTTTTATATATTAAGCACATTTGAATCTCGGGCAAGCAATAAATAAATATGTGTTGTAAAACATAAAAGTACAATTAAATACTTGCCTATAAAGAAAATAGATCTACGAACATGGTACAAAAATGTTTACGTCCAGAGAATGTAGAAATCTATTAAATGTCTATTAGATTTTACATTATTTATGCAATGACAATACATTGACTTAATGTTGAGAGGACTGTTTAGCTTATTTGTGTAATGTTGGTAGTACATGTAAAATCTTTATGTTTTTGTTTTTCCCGCTCTCTTGCATACGGATCGTTGTAGAAAGTATGACGCAATATATAAAAACAGCTTGATCATTTAATTAAATCTCGGCTTTTTATTTCAAAATAAGTTCAATAGACTTAGAAGGAAACCTTTGGCATGAACTACGCTTGTAAAGAAAGCAAAATCTCATAAGTTGAAAACATAGAACATTCACCCAGAAACCTAAATCCTAAGTAAACTATGAAAGCTAGCTCAAGTAACATCAGCGAGTAAGTACAGACGACAGCTCGGTACTAAACCGTCCTTTGGATCGCGCTGATAAATTAACTTACCGTCCACTCTTATCCACATAGATATTGTTTTCTTAGCACTTAGAAAAATTAGTTTGTTCCCATTTAATGAAAAGCAGATTCAATATCGGTAACCGCTCGCTTGCACGATTTTACTGAAATCTTTATAACTATATCTTTGTATCCCAGTTAAGTGCAAACACTATCAATAAATATGTTTAAATCGTACGATAAACAAACACTGCTTGGAAACAGTTAATATGACGTTAATCAATATTTAAACGGTTGGAAAACTTTATTATTTTTTACATGCTATTGCACATGAAGGCACTATACAGAGCGACAGCACGGAACGCTGACGATGCCGGTTCAAGTCCTGCCCGAATCGAATATTTTTTATCGAAATTTATTTTCGATTTATAAACAATATTTAAACGATAAATGCGTGTGGTCTGAAAGAACCCGCTCTAATAAGAAAAATATGTAGTGCACTTACGTGAAAAATTAAGCTTGGCGATAAAAGGAGTGGTGGCGAGTTTCTTGCCAGTTCTTCTCGTTCGTTCTACGCCCTTGTTTTGAGAACTGCTATATGTAAAGTTAGATTCTCTAGTTTTATGACGTTCATAAGTGTACCTAGTTACTAATATGAATAAATTATTTTTCATTTGTGACTTTGACTATCCCTCATTACTTACTGTTATATTTCAGTTTGTTTTCTATATTCTTAAGTAAATAAATCCTTCTATATCCTTTTGCCTCTTTAAAATTGCTTTTAATTGTGCTCAGAATTCTTGATTATCGGTTTTGATCCTCTATTTAGTCTTAATGGAATTGTCAACTCCAGGACACAGACCTCCCCTCTCATAGCTTTCGCCCACCACGCTGCTTCAGCTGGGCGGGCTGGTGGGTCTTAACGACATTAAGCTCAATATAGTAAAAAACCACCTACTAATTCTAAGGTCAATTCTGTTGGATTTGAAAATCTTAGAAAAAAATGCAAAATCCCGAATAATGGTTTCAATAATTTATTTAAAGGACAGGACTAGGACTAGGACATCTAGCCTACAATCAAGTGGACGAAGGTCTTGGGACTTTCAAAGAAAAGCATCACTCTCATCATCTCTTTTAACAGTTCCCATGATATGAAAAAAGGTTGTATTCACATATAAAATTCGCATAGACTAGAGGGTCAATAAATACTTACACTTTCAGTATATACTTCAAATATATAACTAATAATATAATAAAACGCGATGATACTCCTTTTACTAGAAAGGTGAAACTTTATTCTATCGCGTAACAAAATATTGTGATTCATGTGGCGCTATCTAGAATCGCAAATACGTCTTCAATCATATCAAACCCTTGAGAATAGTTTACTTACGCGCAGTCTTGAAAGAAATTATATATTTTAAAAACTGTTTCGCGAACTTTTTATTTGACAGTCTTGGTATAACGTACTTTCGGTCAGCCAGGGCGCAAACTATGATCAACTACTTGTCTGCATAAAATAATGGTTAGTCTAGCATCTCGCTATACGTTTTTATTTATTTTTATATATTACTAGCTATGCTAGCGACTTCGTCCGAGAGAATCGGTATTTTGGGTATCCAAATTCATTTTTGTAAACCCCTTCTTCTTTATATACGTAAGCTGTTACCCACGACGTCGGTCGCGTCGTTCTTGCGATTTAATCTTTAAAGATGTAGCGTAGCGGACATTTCTTTAGATCTTTTAAAGAGGAATAATTCTTTCATACATATTTTTTTTTGTATATTGAACCATTATTGCTGCGTATGCCACTGAAACCCATAATGATAAATAATTTTCTTTCTTGTATTAGTATATAGGGCGATGTTTAATCCATCCTTCCTCGATAAATGTTCTAACCAACCCAAAATAATTTTTCAAGTTCCTGAGATAATCCTACTATAATAACTCTCACCGTGATTCAATGGTTAGAGTCCGGAGATTGATACCCCTAATAGTTAAGTAACAACAGTGCAATAATTTATTTGTAAATAAATTTATTTTTTTAATTTGTAACGAATCTAAATAAGGAAATTTGACTTTAAATTAAAACACTTTTTAATGGTTTATAGCGTGAAATATATTACTAACTTACCAACTTAGTATTTTAACTACGACCTGACATTGCGGATACTTTGCAGCAGCCACGGATGCTGCTGCTAAAACACGTTTGAAACTGTTAATATGTATTTTATTTAAGTGTATTCTATTCGCGTATACTAATTAACTTAGTAGACAATTGTTCTTAAAGTTCTTAGTCGGAAAACTTTTCCCTACTGTGAAGTATTTATACTGTGCCTAAGTGCGTAGGTGTATTTGAAATCTGAATGATATCGGGCGTGTCTAAGATATATAGTATTGTATCGAGACAAATTGCACAACGCACTTACGTCTATCGTTTCAGCTTTCAGGTGGGTCGGGCTCGGGTAATCTGAAGTGTTCTAAGACGTGACTCAAGTTTCACTTTAGTTTCGAACGGAGCTTTTGTGTAAAGCTTTTTTACCGAACTTCGCTAAGTTTTGTTAAGGATATCCTACCACCTACTTGAAACATTTTAAAATACAGCGTGGCTTATCACTAGAATGTATTAATAATTTTATTTAAATAAGAGAATAAAAAACACACATAGTCGGAACTCCAATACATTTACAGGCTTTGAGTCCAAATAAGATTATACGCCTATTAACGAGTTGTGGATTCGATTTCCGGTCCGCCATGTTTCTAAAGTTAATGAATAACTTTTCTAAGACATCTTTACCTAGATATTTTGTATATTAAATTGGAGTTGTAGGAATATATGCCTGCCTCCATTATTATATCACCCAACACACATAACAACATACTCTAAATTATCAACAGTCCCAGGGCGCGAAATTTTAGTTCGTTAGTTAATTAGACAATTTAGAGTATAGTTATATAGTTGGTTAAGATCGTTACCTATGTAATTTAGGGTATAGTTATATATTGTAACGAGTGACTCGTGGCATATATAAACCGCTGCGCGGCATTTCTTTTCTTATACATTTGTATATACAAGTGTATAAGAAAAGAAAGTAAATGAATAAATAAATATTTAAAAAAAAACAAAATTCATCCTGGTCACAAATCACTATAAACAGGTAGAAAAGCCGTTAACTGTTAAATTGAAGGGTAGCTGTAAAGTAGCCTAACTAACTCAACGCGATTAGCAATCGCTATGTAATGCTCGTAAGACCTATATATAAACTGTGTAACTATATTGACTGGAAGCGATGGATCACCGTTGCCGTCACGCAGTTTAATTAAATGTCACTCTCTATATGGTAAAAAGATAACGAATTCCAAGGGATAAACAACCCACAATAACATAAACCCCTTTGTCGAATAAGACTACACGCGCCCCACTTAGCCTTTAGAAATAACGTTTTATATAAACACGTTATTGTCAGTGCCTTATCGCGACAAGGAAACTGAATTACAACCTAATTTAAATGAGTAAAGCCGCTCCACGCTCCACAAAGGCGACTCAACAAACATTTTAATAATAATCTTATCACTGAAGTATTTCCAAGTACAATAAAAGAGCGATATAAACGTACGACACGCGCCCTTAACCACCGCTGAATAGAGATCAAATTTGCGCGAGTCGAAATTGATATTTAACTACTTGCAATTCCGTAAAAGAGGAATTGACTCCGGGTATTCCCTCTACGTCCAATATTTATATACTCCTCGAATAACTGGTTTTAGGTACCCGCATGCGATATTATATTACGTTGTAATACATTATCGTTTAACTTGAGTTTTACGATCGCGCCGCTCTGCAAACGGAGTGAGTTATATACTGGCTCGCGATATTATCGTTACGCGATGTGTTGATAATAACGTGGTACAGGTCAAAAGGCAATGCATCTGAGTGTAGAGGTATATAAATAACTCAATCTGTGCTGTCATTTTACAGATTTCAATTGGTTCCAATATGAAGACGCTTGTATTTGCTGCTATTTTCATAGTTGTGGCTGTTTGTGTGGCTTCTGCTGAAGCTAGGGAAGAAGGTTAGTTGGTTATGTTTTTATTTATTTCATAGCTTATTTTCTTTTTTATTCTATTTGTTTTTGCTAGGTTCCGTATCTTAAATAAATAGGACTTATTAATAAGACTTCGTCAATCCGACTATCTTTGTATGTATCGCAAGGCAGGAGAACTGTGGTTCTCTGCCTGGTGGTAACTGGTGGTTGTGGTAATGGTTAGCTACCATTAGAAATTTTTCACATTTTATATATATCTGTTGCAACAAACGCCATTTTGTCTATTTCTTGTAAATATTGGGAATTGGCGCTTAAAATATTTAAAAATACTATATATTATTAAGCAATAATTAAGTTATAATAAAGTAATTATGGACAAAAATTTTATTTTTCCATCTTTATGATATTAGCAAAACGTTTTTATATACATTTTATCAAAATTAAAAATTTTTAAACGTTCTAAAATGTGAAATTGAATTAATACGCCCGAACTTCGGATGCAATGCAGCACTCATGATCACGAATTAAAATAAGTTAAACTGATATATTCTGCATTTTAAAGTTTGCTAAAAATATGCACTACTCGCGTAAACTCCATATAAGTATTTTGTGTTTTGTCTTATCAGGTTCCCATACTATGGTTAAGAGGCAAATAGTGAAACCCCAGACGATATTCGTGAAGCCACCACCTGGGTGTGGTATGCCGTTTTGGGAGTGCACCAGGCGCTGTCAACAGCGGGGACATCTCAGTGGTGGATACTGCACAATGACTGGATGTGTGTGCCTTCGATAGATTGAAAAGTGGATGTGGTTTATTTATTATGTCAGTTTACAAATATTTTTTTACAACTTTTTACAATTCCTTTTATTTTTTTTGTAGACAGTATATATACATAGTGGATATGTGATTGCTAGTTTAACTATAATAATCTAAAATTTTTTTATTAATTTTTTTTTGTCAAGATTGCCCTAGTTATAAGTCTTTGCTAATTATTTTTTAATAACCAATAATTACTTAAAATCTTAGGTGAGATTTAAGAAACATAAACAAATATTTATTTACATTTAACTTGTAACATAAAAAAAACAATTGAGATTATCGAAAAAATAATTTATTTATAACTTTTTATTTCATTGTTCGTTTCCTTCATTTCAATGTACGGGAAGTTTAAAAAATTCAGTTTTCATATTTAGAATGCTATATATTGAGTACACTTTAATATTACAATGTTATATCAAAAAAGGTCTAGCCCTCTGGCCAAAAAAAACCCCCCCCCCCCCCAAAAAAACCCCCCCCCCCCCCCCCCCCCCAAAAAAAAAAAAAAAAAAAAAAAAATTTTTTTTTTTTTCCAAAAAACCCCCCCCCCCCCCCCCCCCCCCCCCCCCCCCCAAAAAAAAAAACTCTTTCCCCCCCCCCCCCCCCCCCCCCACCCCCCCCCCCCCCCCAAAAAAAAAAAAAAAAAAACCCCCCCCCCCCCCCCCCCCCCCCCCCCCCCCCCCCCCCCCCCCCCCCCCCCCCCCCCCCCCCCCCCCCCCCCCCCCCAAAATATTAAAGTACTCAATATTATTAAATTAAACATGTATTATGATTTTGGATGTTTGTTGTGTGTTACATACACACAAAAAACCTAATATTTCCCCTTATTAACTAATGTGAACGGATGTTTAAAATAAATAGGTATATTCGTAGGTATAATAATCCTTCCACTAATATCCAAACCCCTGATGACCTTCTTCTTAGTCCCGAAGTAATACGCCTGGATCACCAGCTTGGAACAGTAGCTCGGGTTCTTCGACCTGATGTCTGTGGTTATTCTGTATGTGACGTGTATTGTCTTCTTAGCACCTCCCCTGGGGTTATAATAATTGTGGTCAGCCCAGACAGCTGCTTGTTGGGCGACTGCTCTGTCTCTATTTCGATATACAGTTGTCCAATCTGATCTATGTTGATCAAACCAGGCGTGTTTGCTTATCTGTCTGTTGTTATTTTTTAAACCTGCGTAACAAAATCACATTTACTTACAAGTGTCCATGTTTGTTGTAAATGCTAAGAATAGATGTTTAAAATAAAAATTGTTACTGACGTTGTGTGATTATATACAAGAAGGAATAAAAATGTGTTCAAAACCTTTTGAAAGTTGGAATCCCATTAAAGTCTGATCAACTTGTCTGTAAAAAATCACATGTAAACCTTATATGTTCGTTGGTCTAATGGCAGTAATCTATGGCTAATAGTCAACGGGCAGTGGGTTCGACCCCCACCACCTGCTGTTTCTGATCAATTTATAATTTTTCTGAAATAAGTTGGACTTTGTCTGGAAATGATATTAAATGTTTGTTAGAACCACGTTTAGTTTAAACACGTTTTGGTGTCAGTCTGTGAATTCACTGATATCCAAAGTGAAAATAGGTCAACGGCACATCTTGTCAAGATGTTAACTACAAAATAAATGTAAAAGTGTTTTATTTAAAGGAGTAGTACACATTTAAATAAAACACTTTAACGGTTTAAAACGCGATTTATTAGTTAAACTTATTTGAAAATGATTTTTTACTTCGGCCCGACGTTTGCTCTTTGATGGTTGATGCTTTGCAGCACCCGTGGTCACGGGGAGACCACGGCTCTCCACCTTATTTAAAAATCGTTTTCAAATAAGTTCTTTATTTTTTTTTTTTTTCCTAAATATAAATTATAACCTGTTTATATGTTTAAAACGTATCGCAAAATAATCAGTCATTTTATTTTATAATTTTTACTTCTCATAAAAATATTAAAACTGTATAGTAGATTTATCTTGTCCCCTACATACCAGTGTTCCATCCTCTTCCACCAGGCATTTCCAGGACCCAATAATCCGTGGTCATAATAGCAGCATGGCCTATCAGCCCACCAATCCCTCTTCCCGTTATAAGAATGTCTCCTTTCCGAACTGTATTGACAAAGCGCCGTTTGTTATCAGCCGTGCTCCGTTTTGCGATTTTCCTCGCAAACAACGACTCCTGGGTATCAACTAAGATGCCAAAGTTGTTCATAATAAGCCACTCTTGGTAATTAATAGGCTCGCTACCATTTAACGAAGTGTATTCCCTGAATACGTCCCGGAAGATGTTTCGCTCGTCGCTTTGAAATGTTTGAAAAGGATATTTTTCGATATCTATTATTCCCAATTCGACTCCCGTCTGGTACGCTTTGTGGATCGTGGAATTGGAGAATTCATTGTTGCCTATTAAAACAATATTTTCATCAATATAAATTACTCAATAACCCCGGAAGGGGGGGGGGGTAATATTCATAAGTTATATATCCAATGTTTGGCTTATAATCCCCACCGGGTCCAACAGCAATATTATCTATTTATGATTTTTCCGGAATCTGTTGGATTTCGTCCGGAAATCCGAATATTAGATGGACTATTGATATTTCCACCCGAATCCCGAACCCCCGCCCGCCGAAAAAAAAAACCCGGAAGCAAAACCCCGTTTTTTTTTCGGGGGGGGGGTTCCCCCAAACCCCCCCCCCCAATTTTGGGGGGGGTTTTTTTTTTATGTTATATAGCGTGGCGATTTGACCGACCATAAAGTGATGCTAAGCTTGTATATCCTCTATCATAAAAAAAATTATATTGATTTTCATAATTATAAAGAAGACAAATGCTTCACAGCCGTACACAGCACAGCTTACAGTTAGTATTAGTAAAAGAGCAATAATACATATTGCCTTAATGACATGCCAGAAATAAACAATATCTATATTAGACTAACAAACAGAGGTCTTAAATAAACAGGTATATAATAAATAACTATTACTAATGGAATCAATTATAACATTGGAAATAATAGGATTTTATTGGGACACTTATGGATAGAGATTTTTACAATAAAAGTACAAGTAAACTTACCTTCATAATCTTCCGCTACAATATAAGAAGTTATAGTGAGTATTATCCCAAAGATATGTAACATATTCATTTTCAATACAACAATTATTCATACATACTAATTAGTGGGAAGAATAACATGGCTTATATACTTATCTTAACATAAGGGGATGTCCTTTGTCCATTACTGGCCAAATATAATTTCTTATCTACTCTACAATGTGAAACATGTCTAGTCATAAAAAAATATACACCATAATAATGTTTTACCTTCAAGCTTTGTATTTTCATTTTCCCTTCTATTTTCAATACTTTTAACTACCCGGATAGTGTAAAAATATTCTGAGCGCAATATTTTTCATAGCGAAAACTCGTTCAGCTAGCATTTTCTTTAAAAGCATTTAGCTATTACATTTTTAATTATGTATCTTCGACGTTAAAACCATATTATAAAGGAAACTAGAGTATATACAAATATAAGTTCATGGAGGCACTATTTTTTTACAGTTATGGATAATTCGAAATCCACAGACTGAAACTGAAACGCAATTATAATTCACAGGTTTTCAATCTGTGGACTGTTGCGTGACGTTTCTGTATGATGTTAAGTATTTTGAGAAGTAATTTAAATTGATTTAAAAAAATATGTCGGACCTAGTGGGAATCGAAGCCACGCCCTTGTCATTCGACTATCGAACCTGTGAATAGAACTTTTTAACTATAGAACATAATAAATATATTCGATTTTTTAATTATAGATTGAATATCTACATATAATGAAAAAAAACTTCGCTTGTTTTTAAGCGACGACAATTGTTACTTACTTTAAATGAAAATATAATAAAATTATAATAAGACGTGGGTTCGATCCTCATCAGGGCCATCATGTTTATAATCAATTTCTACCTTTTCTAAAATATGTTGGACTTCGTTTGCAAGTTTGGATATTAATGGGTGGTAGGAATCGAAATTTTGTTAAGGTCAAGAAGTCCACAGATATATTAGCCGTGAACTTTAGTCTGTGGATTTCCGAATATCCAAGCCAAAATAGTTCGACAGAGCATTTAGTTTAGATATTAAACGGCTGGGGTAACCTACCACCCAGTGCTTGTCTGTCCGTCTCTATAAGTAAGTAGCATGTCTTAGCAATTATACTGCTAAGGCATACACCAAAACATTGCAGAAAAGTATGTCATATACAATGCAGATAGTAAAATTAACTTGTCCTTTTTGACAAAGGTCGCCGTCACGACATACCCTTGCTCAAAATCTGACACGCGCTATTTCAAACTACATTCATATTAAAACCATTCAATTGATGGTAAAGATAACATGAATACTGAGGTTAAACAATAAAACTCAATGCTACGTCAAAATAATTCTAATACCATCGTGATAGGGTGTAGAATTGTTTGTGGTCTTGTAAATACATCGCCCGAAAGTCGCAACTACAAAAGTAAGAATTGGGTTGTAACTGCCAAGTCGCTTTGGCTCGGGGCGAAACCCTAAATTAAGTATCCAGTTTGGTATTCAGTAGTTATATAACTCGTTGCTATTCTGATAAGGTGCTGGCTTTTGTTCTTACCACTTTCGTACCTAATTTTAGTTTGGTAAAATTTTTGGGTGCGTGATAATAATACAATTATATCATTAACTAACACAGAATTATTCACGAAACAAAAGAATTACGCTTTTTGTAGTTCACGTGAGTAGTACACATTTAAATTAAATACTTTAACGGTGTAAAACGCGAAGCATATTAGTTAAACTTATTTATTTACAGCCGGCCGTGATTAAATAAATTTAACTAATATATTCACTTACTGCTAATAAATTCAAAAATGTAACAAGAGAAAAGTTTATACAAATAAATTATGTAACTTTTTCCTATACATTAAAATCGATTTTAGATGCCAGGACTTGAACCGGCATCCCCAGCGTTCCCCGCTGTTGCTCTAACCAATTGAGCTACCGTGTACACGTCATAGTACACTTTTCAACCAATTGATATATACACTTCTCGCCCAATGCTTTTTCTTCCTATCTCTCAAAAAAATATTGCTTAGTTCCCAAACGTACGAATGAACATACAAACACAATACGACAAGTATGTATGTATGTTGTACAGTACATTTAATTATAATAAAATACGCTAATTTCTAAATATAAATGTGAATCATCAGAAAGCATGTGAATGGGGAAGTCCCGTTTACCAATAGCTCCTAATTTATCATAAGGCGCGTAAAAGATAATAGTATGTACAAATATTTACCGTTTGTGATATACACATTCTCTTCTTGCAACCTACCTTTTATTAGGTAGTATTTTCTTATAGGTACGTCACTAACTAAGAAGTATATGCTTCGGCACACAAATTTTATTCACGTAAGGTAAAAAAAGAAAGGTCTCATTGGTCCGATGGTAGCAATGTAGCGAAATGTATGTCTTATTCAAACATGTCTTAACGAATATCACACTGTACCGACTAGACCGAAAATTTTATGCAAATATAGAGTGACATACGGGCGGTGCTCTTGTAAACAAATCACTGTGTTTACCTCGAAGAGGTTATTACACTGACGATCATATTGGAGTTATGCAAATCGCAGGAGTGACGAATCAAGAGTAAAATACAGTTATATGCCAACGTAATTTCGTAATCTCCTGTCGAATCCGTTGTAATTGATTTATGGGTAAACCTCACATCCTGTATAGCTCAATAGTCAAACGCCATTAACGACGAGAGGTTTTGATGACAGCGGAGAACAGACAAACACGGAGTTTCTTTTATGGAAGGTGAAATTTCCTAAGCCATATAACATTTAAACTAGATACGCCGTTGACCTATTTCGTTCGACGTTCAGAAATCCACAAACTGATACCTAAATGCAAACGCTTTATATATGAATAAAGGTTGAAATTACATCGTGAGAGAGGTGCATGTATCAATAGTGAAAAAAATGTCGAATCCGTGTAGGGCCCGGTAGCTCAATTGGTTAGAGCAACAGCACGGAACGCTGTTCAAGTTCTGCCTGTATCATATTTTTTTCAATTCATAATTTAAATAGTGCTATCATGTGCAATGACATGTGAAAAATATTAAAGTTTTCAAATATTACATTTTTTCTATTTTTTTAAAATCCAGATTTTCCAGACGGAGAAACTTGTTATAGAAAAAATATTTTTTGACTTTAGGATCATGTTCGACCTGGTGGGAATGTAAACCATGACCCATTGGTAATTAGACATACAATGTTAGCGTTGATCGAACGAACCCGCTTAAAGGTCCTGGGTTTGATTTTCGGGGAATTATTATTTTCGGTCCGAAGATCAGAGCTTCAACTACTCGTGGGTAAGGAAAATAAATGAGTAAATTTATAAATAAGTAAATAAAAAGACAGATGTGTATTTTCCCCCTTGGCCATATTGAGGAAAAATATACATAGTAGGTACATCTTTTTTACCTTTCCAATAGCTCGTTCTTTATTACGTTTTCTGATAAATGCTATATACATAAATATATGTATATAACTAGTTGGTTTTTTATCTCTTTTACCAAATTCAATATATATTATGACAAAACTATACATCTCTCTGTAATTTACGCGAGTAGTACTTACGCATTAAAATAAAACACTGCAACAGTTTAAAACGTGAAATATATTAGTGAAATTTATTTGAAAATTATAATTTTAAATACGGTCCGAAGTTTCGGATTCTTTGCAGCAGCAGTCTCCCCGTGACCACGGCCACGAAATAAGTTTAATATATTTCGCGTTTTAAACCGTTGAAGTGGTTTTGTTTAAATTATTAACTAACTAGCAAACAAATGAGTAAAACCAAGGATGTTGAAAAAAAAGTACAATTATGTTATATGTATTTTTTAATAACAACATATGTATTGTGACATACTACAGACAGTTGCACTGTTGTATTACTTTAGTACATAGCGAGTCCACAAGGGTCCAGTTTCCCTAAACTTGTCATGTATCTTCGTCGAAGTTACAGTAGCATCTCCCTCTTACACATCGTCCTGAACTCCATCCTTTGATGTGACAATGCTGATCACACTCAACTTTGCATGAAGGTACTTTAATAGCGGCGTTTACTGCAAAAAAACACAAGTTTTTACTAGTCCTAATATTGACCGTCTCACCGCCAGTTAAACGTGATGTCTAACATTGCGTTGAGCGTAAGAGGTCCTGGGTTCGAATCCAAGGGAAACAAAAAAACGAGCATTTCATCCGCGTCTAACCGCCGACTGTAAAAGAATCAATCAGTGAAACGGATAAAGAAATCTGTTCGCCCCATGCCCCGGGTGATCTTTCGGCTATTCGGCCGGCATGAGCGAGAACAGGTTCTCGACGTTTTGCTATCACGAGCGGACGGCATCATCAGGCGATGTTAGCTCCTCGATTGCTCGAAGAATTAATCCATTAAGTTAATTCTCTCACGTCAGATATATCGCGTTTAAAACTGTTAGTATTTTGTTTTATACTCCCTAATATAGATTAAAAGTAAAAGCTACACTCATCGAATTCCAAAACAGTTGATAAATACAGAGATTTTGATACAATAATAGTTGTAATTGTAACAATCGCCTAGTTACGTCAACGTTATTTCAAATATTCGCACTTTGAACATATAACAATAATATTTCTAAATGTTAAATTTCTATTAATGTTAAACCGCTTAATGTAAATCATTAATGACCAATTATGAATCGCTTAGCTGAGCTAAATTCAATACACGGTACGATTATTGTTATAAATAATGTATTTGCGAGTAAATGGATTATAATCTATGGATTAGATGGTATGCAGTGTAGCTTTATTATGTTTTCTAGAGGTGACCAGTAGGACTAGTTAGACTATTGCAGTAGTCGTAATTTCCTTTTAAAAGAACATTTTCTGTTTAAGTTTAGAACAGAAAACTTTTTACACTAGTTTTTTTTGTCATATGAAGTATTTCGACGAAGTTTGATTATCACAAGCTTCTTGTGTGTTATTCTTGAAAGATATACTGTCGCGGACATTTTTTGGTAACCTTGAACCGTTTTTGCAACGCACGCAACGGATATCATCTTTTCGCTTCTAATGGTCACAGCCAAGGGTGTAACCATCCTTGGCGAATGCTCTAACCATCGTCTTCAAACAAACAAACAAACTCTTCAGCTTTATATAGGTATAGCTTTAAAGCCATTAAAAATAGTGTATTTAACGAGATTTACAATACTATTACAAAAATTGTGATCTGTTAACTATTTCAAAGGCCATAAGGTTCAACCGATTTTGTGTAAAATACTTTTTAAACTTAGATCTACTACTACTATAACTTAGAATGTGAACTACTTTTAATTAAATTACTTTGTAGGATTTGTAAGCAGGAAAATACAGAAATAAATACAGTGATTCAGCTATGTTTATTACTTAGGTATTGTAACAAACAAATGTTTCCTTTTAATACCGAGTACTTCAAGCTTTCGTTAGATTACTTCGGGATAAATGTGTATCATTTACGTTCCTGCTAAATTTCATCACAATCAGCCATGCTTGATCATAAAAGTTTAGTTTGGTTTTACATTAATTTCGTTATTTCTTTATAGCTAACTGGTTTGCGAGTCATTGCGTTAAACGAGAGAATGTTCGTGTAGTTCGAATCCCGGAAAATTGTGTGGTGGGCGCAAAACTCCAAACGTCACATAATCTATACTAATAAGCTGAAGAGTTTGTTTGTTTGAACGCGCAAATCTCAGGCCGTACTGGTTTGAATTGAATAATGCCTTTTGTGTTGGTTGTTGTAAGGTTAAATCTAAATCTTCAGCGAAGAAACAGCGGGAAATGTAGAGACAACGGGAAAAATATTCATCTTTGTGGATTTCGGATACGTGCCTGAATATGTATGAAAGAATAAATTCTCTTTAAATGATCTGAAAAAATGTCCTCAACATTGTATGTCTCTTCTTTTAAGATTATCTTGCAAGAACGACGGGACGCAACCGATGTCGCGGGCAATAGCTTAAGTAATGATGAAGAAAGTTTGCAAAAACAAATTTTGATGCTCAAATAACTATTCTACGCGGACGAAGTCGCTGACACAGCTAGTCATATAGTACACGGCACAGGAATTGTAATAATTACAAGCAAAATCCAATACTCAGCAAAAAAAATACCAATTTATAAGCATAATTTAACCATCAAAATCTTAATTACGAAGATAGCAAAAAGGTTACCTTGTAGACAGTACAGCACCGCGATAATAAAAAATATTCCAAATAATTTCATTAAAACGCTTTTTCCATTCATCGTAAACGATAAGGTAAATAAAACTGTGTGTTTTTTAAACAATACAGACTCGTGTTTATTTAACGAATAGTACTTTATAACTAAGTCAGTACCGTGAATCACTTATTGGCAGAATCGTGCAGATTCCTCACTCGTGTGTGATAAGAATGTAGTATAATACGCGTTTATAATTTCTGACATTTAATTATGTTTCAGTTATTTCTTACAGCGCCATCTGTCGGATTTTGAGTTGAAAAGCAATTTGAAAGCAATACAAGGTCTATTGCAATTTTGAATTTCGAAAGTTACAAATATACGAGTGTCGCGATGGGTCTATTATAAAAGAAAGATGGAGGATGTCTCTGGCATCAAAGTGAAAAATTCTGCCAGCGCCATCTGTTCCGTCGAAGTTGCTATTTGGCGAAACTGGCCGGGTCCTTAGAGAAATGACTAACGGTGTCTTCGCGTTTGCCGGTATCATATGCTCCCCGTGACCACGGCTGCTGCAAAGCATCCGAAACGTCGAGGCCAAGTTAAAAATACTTTTCAAATAAATTTAACTAATATATCGCGTTTTAAACCATTAATGTGTTTTATTTAAATGTGTACTACTCGCGTCAACTATAGACAGTATTAAAAGTCAAATTGTATATTGCATATACGTTAGTAGGTACACTTACAAACGTTAACAATACAAATTCTATATTTATATTTACAACAAGTTTTCAAATGAAAAATTCTTGTTCTAGAAACCTATAGATCTAAAATAATATTTTCAAACGGTGAGAGTTAAAAAATGTATTATATTTAATTACAACATTGTACGGGGGGGAAAGTCCCTCGTTGGGTATTAGTTAAAATAATTTTAAGTAATATATATCGCGTTTAAAACCGTTAAAGTTTATTTCAAATAAGTTAACTAATACCTGGCGTTTTAAATAGTTAAAGTTTTATTTAATGCACTAATTATCAGTCATTATATATTTCGAAACCTCGGTCAAAAAACTTCGTTAAGATATCTAACGATTAGTTCCATATTAGGCAACACCTAATCTTATCGCATTGCAACTCACTGAAAAAGGAATACAATGCAGGATGATTCAATCCTGAGGTAAAGTCCCGAACGACCAATATAAATGTGGTCAGTGTCTGCCAAGTTATTAGTTCCTGTGAGGTCCTGTGACAAATCATGACACCAATTCTTATATTATTCGTCGCGTGTTTCGCGAACGCATACGTTACCGTCAACGTGTACGAAGATGGTAAGTTCTTTTTTTAACCATTTAACGACAACATCGGGGCACAGTTTAGATAAATAAACTTCTGATATCGTCTTTAGTTAACTTGAGTAGTACATTTAAATAAAATACTTCAATGGTTTAAAAACCACGACTGCTGCAAAGCATCCGAAACGTCGGAACGTAGTTAAAATATTTTTCAAATAAGTTAAACTAATATACATCGCGTTTTAAACCATTTAAAGTGTTTTATTTAAGTCAAAAGATGACAACCAATTTACTTCCACATTTAAAACCGTTAAGGTGTTTTATTTTAATCAAATTTATTATATTATCTACGGCCCGACGTTATGAATGCTTTGCAGTAGCCGTGGTCACGGGACATTAATATGTTAATATTTTAAACTTTTTCGCGTCTTTAACCGTTATTTTTTTGTGTGTACCATTCGCGTAAACTACAGACAATGCTTAGAAGTATTTCATTTAAACGATACTTTTAGCTTATTAAATTGTAATATTAACGCTTCCAAGATTTTCTTAAATTACATATTTAACGAAAGAAGTGCATAAAGAAATGGATAAAAAACAACTTCTTAAAGGAAGACCGTGTCACAGTAGATTAGTAGAACTGGACGCTGTTTTTAGTATTTGTAGTAGAGGTCGACGCTCGCATTTCTAATATTACATTGTAACACAACACATTTCTTATACGACTCGCGTCCAAAGGATACACGAATTCCTGCAACAGATGTTGAACACAGATTTGGCAAAAGTATGCGAGCCATCTACATGCGACCAACTGTGTCGCCGAACGGGGCACAACAGTGGTGACTGCATAAATAATAGATGCGAATGGCACAATTTAGACACTGACAATGGTTGTGCCTTTTCTGACAGCTATGCCGTGATTGTACTGATTGTCATGCATGATATGTTTCAAGGGAAGGTATGCATGCAAATTGTATGTACGATTTTGTCACTACAAGCCGACTTTTAAGGAACATCTAACCATCTAATGAAAATTATTATTAATGTATCATTGTCTGTCTAGACAGAGTTCCCGAATTTTTTTTTGTCGTAGACCCTTTGCCATGTTTTTCCGTGTCGGGTAGATCTCCACTTACCTGATCTTGATTTCCTGTAAGTTTCTAACTGTAGTGAAGTTTAGTGTTAAAAACTTTTACATTTATTATATTACATTTATTAATTGAATTAAAATTAAAACTACCCAAAGTAAAATTTTGTTTGTGTTATTAAACATATATAATAGTTTTTTTACTTCATAGATACTTTTGAAAATTTTAATATTTTTTACATGTTATTGCACATGAAGACACTATATTATTTAAAAATCGAAAATAATTGAAAAAAAAATTCGACTCGGTAGCTCAATTGGCAGAGCAACAGCACGGAACGGTAACGATGCCGGTTCATTTCCTGCTCGAGTCGAAAATTTTTTCAATTTATTTTTGATTTTTAAATCATAGGTACTTTTGAAAATAATGTATTTTTTGATATTATAAAATAGTATGATGTAACTAAATAGGTACTGTTAGTGTATTTGTTGAGAACCACTATCATGGACCCCCAATTTTTTTTTTCGCTGACATAGACCCCTCGCAGGTTGTCATAGACCCGTAGGGGGTCGATAGTATAGACACTTTAGGAATCACTTGTCTAGATTCTATAGTTTACCCGACTGGTGGACTCTAATTAAAACACTTCTAGCGGTTTCAAACTCGAAACAAATCAGCTTTATTTGATTTTTAACTAAAATGGTTGGTAATAGTTTCAAAACAACTACTTATATATTTCGTGTTTTAAACGTGAAGTGTTTTGTTATATTCTCTATTTAATAAATTGACAAATTATTCCCTATTACATAACGAAAGCATACAAACATACAATAATACTGTTCTTTTTCGTACCAAAGGACACTTATAAATATAAATATAATGTATGTATAGTTTGAATAATACACGCGAGAAACACAAAATTAAAACCTTTTTTTACTGCTGCAGCTGTTCCTAACTAAACAATAGAAACAAATTACTATGTTTTTTTGAAAACACTAAAGAAATCCACAGCTGTTCATACACATACTAAATTATAAAAGTGTGGGACTTTAATTTAGGTTTTATAAGAACGTAATAACAAATTGATGATTGATTCAAACATTTTGAACGGTTTAAACCCTCGGCTTCAGAAACGTCGCAACGCAAAACGTCGAGTTAAAAAAAAAAACATTTAAATAATTTCGCGTCATTTACATTGCGTTTTAAACGTTCAAAAGAATTTCGTTTAATGTTTAACTTGCGTTAACTGGAAAACTACATAATAGTACATTATGATATAAGTGCGGTAAGTTGAAAATCACAGCCGAGGCGATATTACTATGCTTATTTGTTATATTTTATTTCCCAAACTTAATTTTATTCATAAAATATTGACCACTTTCTTGACATAAAACCTCTTTGCTAAGAAAAAAAAAACACGTGCCTTTTACATTACATTATCGCACAAGTACGTAATGAGATACATTACGATATTGAAATTGGTGTAATTACATCCACTTTACGAGCAAATATGTTATAAATGAAATTTACGCAGTTTATTTACGTTTATTTTCATATTAGCTTTTTTTAATTTGTGACCTATCCAATGGCACTAGTATCTCTCATAGCTTCGAGTCCCAACCGTCCCATAAAGATTCTACAAAATGATTAACCATTAACCTTTTATTTTACGTTGATATCTACTGTTTTATTTCCGTGGTTCATTAAACTAGATTAGATTATATCTTTGTTTTGATTAAAAGGCACGAACCGTTTGTTTATCTTTACAAATAGAGAAGCGTGTCTGACGGAACCTTAATTACAATGAACGCAATCAACTCTTGCGAAAACTGCGTTTCCCCAGTCTCCCCAGAGGTGTTTGTGTGTGGGAAATGAGCGCGCTACTATAAACATGACTTCGGAGCTTACACGGAATAATTGTTCAATTATTCATTGGGGCAGAATATTTGTAATTTGAGCGTGTATGCAAAACGAAAAAAAAGTATCAGTGTCTCCCCGTGACCACGGCTGCTGCTTAGCATCGAAAACGTCAGGCCGTAGGTAAAATAATTTTAAAATTAGTATATATTTAAATACTACTGGTGTGAACTGAATAATATAACAGTGTACATTTGTGTTCGCAACTATGGTACTATAGCTAGACTAAGTTCATGAATATTATACCTAAATTACAAAATAAGTAATCATGACTATGCGCAATTCTATGACTTTATTCCATTAGAATAAGAAAAACGCAATTGTCTTTCAGCAGACACAAGCAACATAGAAGACACCAACTCATTGAGAAGCTGCAACTTGAGAGCGTGCGAACAAACATGCAAACGCCTTGGTTTCCCCGGTGGAGCATGCGTTAATGGCAGATGCAAGTGCGACAACTTTCGATTCACAAACGCAGTAGAAGGTTTGTTTTAATACCAAACGCTACTTAGATCATATTTATAAGTACGTAATTATAAGTATATTTTCCAATGTAGATGCAAGTAACGGTGACGAAGTGAGTCCATTTCGTGGTTGTAACTTGAGAGCATGCGAGCAACAGTGTAGACGCCTTGGGTTCCCCGGTGGAGCATGCGTTAATGGCAGATGCAAGTGCGACAACTTTCGATCTATAAATGCAGAAGAAGGTATGTTTTAATACCAAAAGCTACTTAGATAATATTTACAAGTACGTTATTGCAAGTATATTTTCCAATGTAGATGCAGGCAACGGTGACGACGTGAGTCCATTTCGTGGTTGTAACTTGAGAGCATGCGAGCAACAGTGTAGACGCCTTGGGTTCCCCGGTGGAGCATGCGTTAATGGCAGATGCAAGTGCGATAACTTTCGATCTATAAATGCAGTAGAAGGTTTGTTTTAATACCAAACGCTACTTAGATCATATTTATAAGTACGTAATTATAAGTATATTTTCCAATGTAGATGCAAGTAACGGTGACGAAGTGAGTCCATTTCGTGGTTGTAACTTGAGAGCATGCGAGCAACAGTGTAGACGCCTTGGGTTCCCCGGTGGAGCATGCGTTAATGGCAGATGCAAGTGCGACAACTTTCGATCTATAAATGCAGAAGAAGGTATGTTTTAATACCAAAAGCTACTTAGATAATATTTACAAGTACGTTATTGCAAGTATATTTTCCAATGTAGATGCAGGCAACGGTGACGACGTGAGTCCATTTCGTGGTTGTAACTTGAGAGCATGCGAGCAACAGTGTAGACGCCTTGGGTTCCCCGGTGGAGCATGCGTTAATGGCAGATGCAAGTGCGATAACTTTCGATCTATAAATGCAGTAGAAGGTTTGTTTTAATACCAAACGCTACTTAGATCATATTTATAAGTACGTTTTTATAAGTATATTTTCCAATGTAGATGCAGGTAACGGTGACGAAGTGAGTCCATTACGTGGTTGTAACTTGAGAGCATGCGAGCAACAGTGTAGACGCCTTGGGTTCCCCGGTGGAGCATGCGTTAATGGCAGATGCAAGTGCGATAACTTTCGATCCACAAACACAATGGAAGGTGAGTAAATTTTTATAATGCTACAAGATGTTATCGCCGCAGACCACGTTTCAAAAACTATAAAAGATCTAAGTAATTCTTATTGAGATAAAATTTCTAGATATAATTTTTTGTAACTTTTTCTAACAAAAATATTTCGTTTATTTTAATTGTGAATATATAATACGTTATAACAGTACGGGTAAAATGGCAACTTCTATTCTTTTTTTTAACTCCAATAATCAGAAACCTCGCCTAGTCTTTATATAATATATGTATGAGTATTTATATATTAATTTATTATTTTCCCATACATTTAATATATGTTTAATTTTTATTATATTATGATCTAATAATTTACAATTTTATGTAACACTATGCATTTACAGATGAAAGCTTTGCAGATCAAAATATGTTAAGTGGCTGTAACTATCGGGAATGTGACCAAAGATGTCGCCGCCTCGGATTCCCGGGAGGGGCGTGTGTTGGAGACAAGTGCAAATGCGATAATTTCCGCCGCTTTGAGGCCAGCGAAGGTAATCTACAAGTTGGCTTAACTTCTTTGATTCCCATGTGGATACGGGTGACTTGTTCTAAATGTCCAACCAGGAAAAGAGTTCTTTAAGAATATAATTTTACTTTTATGTTTTACTAGCTGAGTCCGCGACTTCGTCCGCATAGTAAAGTTCAGGGCATCCAAATTCGTTTTTGCAAACTCTCTTTATAAATTTAAGCTGTTACCCAGGACATCGGTCGAGGCCCGTCACTCGCGAGTCGCGACCCGTCGTTCGGGTCCCATCGTTCTTGCTTAGTTAATCTTAAAAGAGAGACATATAGATAGTGTGACGAACATTTTTTTAGATCATTTAAAGAGAAATCTACAAAATATTTTTGGGGTGTCGCATGGGGATTCCAAAAAGGAGAAAATTTTTTTCCCCTTTTTTTTTTTTTTTTCTTTTTTTTTTTTTTTTTTTTTTTTTTGGGGGGGGGTTTTTTTTCCTTTTTTTTTTTTTTTTTTTTTTTTTTCCCCCCCCCCTTCCTCTTTGTGGGGGGCCCCCCCCTTTTTTTTTTTTTTTTTTTTTTTTTTTTTTTTTTTTTTTTTACCTGTGAATTTACAAATATCAGCCAAAATAAGTCAACAGAGCATCTTGTTTAAATGCTATATTGTATTTCACCTATTATCATACTTGTCGGTCCATCTTACAAAGATACTTCGGTAGAGTTAACTTGTCTAGACTGAAATTATATCGTTTATCGCTAAGATTTTATACAACAGTGCAGTCTCTTTCCCACGTGCATTAAAGTCTAACAATGTCCAGGTTCAGCTAAAATCAATAGTGAATATCGCAGCTGTAATTACCAGGAGTGCGACAGGCGATGCCGCCGTCTGAAATTTCCCGGTGGAGTTTGCGTATTTAACCGATGCAAATGTGACTATTTCCGACAACTGTTGAGCAGTGATTGTAAAGTGGCATATGAGTTATAAAAACACACAAAATCTGAAAACAATCTATTTCAATTCTTTATATGTTGACAAAAATATCACATCACTAAGGAAACATGGTAGTTTAAAAACGAATCAATATTATGTTTGGGGAAAAGCAATTTGCTATATTTGTGTTTTTCATTTAAATTCCTTTAAATATCAAAATGACAAAAAGGAATTACAAATTAGCACATCTATCTGTAAATATAGATAACTCGAAAATGTTTTGCTGAAAAAACAAAAGGTTGCCTTTTTATTTGTATTTTGATTGAAAACTTAATAAACCCTTTCAGTCGGCAACATGACAGACAGCCCATTCGAAAAGGACGTCAAGTGTAATTCAACTGTGTGTGAAACTACATGCAAACAGCGTGGCCACTCAAATGGTATTTGCATTGAGAAGGAATGCTACTGTGAGATAGAAGGTAGAATCATCATAATTTAATTTACGCGAGCAGAGCTTGACATCAAAGTATTTCTGTTGTTTTTTTCTGATCAACTTTAGGCGCGTATTCACACGATAATAGCTTTTTTAAGTGTCGTTGTTTTATTTAATATTTATATAAGTAGTAAAATTTTTGCATAATCTATTTTTATTAGAAAATTATAGCTCGACGCCAACTAAATAAACATGTCACAAGTCATTAACAGTTTCGTAGTAATCGGGACCTCTAACGCCGTATTCATTAATTATATTTGACGTGGCCCCAAGTTTTCTAATAATTAATATTAGATAATATATTTGCCCTAATGACTGTTGAATGACGAATTACTGTAACAAGTTAGGTAGCCCCCCTACGGCGTAGCGGACTTTGTAGCTCCTTCAATGCAATTGCCTACGACGTAGCAGCTACGTTGCATCTTGTTTGCGGCGCAGCCGGCCGTAGACAACATTGTAACTTCACGGTTTCAAGGCGCTACTCACTTACTAAATTCTAGTGGGCAGAGAGCTTACTCGAGTTACTTGCTCAAGTTTATTTATATTTTGCTAAAGTATATCTACCAAGCTTGTAAATATTTTTGTTAAGTACTAAAAAGGCTGTAACCAGCTTTTATCTCCTTTTTCATGTTTGAATAGTTAATTACTATCATCTTTATCTTATTTTATGATAGAGGAAGACAAGCATGACCTTCACGTGATAGTAAGTAAAGTACCCCATATAACCTCTCAACAAGACGCGAGGTCGACGAATTTAGGGTTTGGATATTCCAAAAATTGCGTTTCTGTTTTAAGCTGTGGTAAAACAGAAACACGATTAAAATATACGACTTTTCATTTCTATAATTTTGTTATTCCTTTTACAAAATCTTTTTGTCACTCTCTATGTACTTCAGTAATGTGAAATTTTGATAATTAATTGTACACGCATAGAAAATATGGTTAAATCATTGTAAAAATTACAGAAATCGAACACATGAAACCTTCGTCACAATGTGACGAATCCAGCTGCAACGATATGTGTCAAAGTATGAACTTCCTTGGAGGGAGGTGTTCAGCCGGTTCCTGTCATTGCTTTTGATTAAATTTATACCCAAACAATTAGACTTAAGAATTAAAATTGCATGAATGTATTTCTTCTTGTATTAAACTTTTATATCCGTATTGTAAGTAAGTGACAGTAAAAGTGTATTTTTAAATATGGAATTGTTTTCATTATTTTAAACAAAATTCCTGTTACCTAGCTTTCGAAATTTATAAATATTTAACAATAATTCAATACTCTCCAACCATTTACCAATTACTGTGGTTTTAAGGACTGTCAAACTACTGTGTCTGAAAAATGTGAACTTTCGCTGCGAATCCAACATTGATTAGAGATAATTTGATTTTTTTCAATTTACTAAACGAAAAATATAAATAACATAGAAAATGTGACGTTACATCAAAACGAAATAAATATATATTCTCTTCTTGCGTAATTCAAATTTTATTTGCGTAGATTGTCTATCCTTCTAGATCAAAAAAATAATAATTAAAAAACACCGTGAAAGAAGTAGGTAAAGCCGGTATAGGTCGACAGTGCAACTTGTTTAAATGTTGTATAGCTGGGGTATTTACCTACCATCAAGTGAATCCTGTCTTGTCAGTCTTCCTCTATCATAAAAAAAGATATTTAAAGTGTTCGTAACAAAGAAGTAGCAACTTAAACGCCGCTATTAAACAAAATGAAGGACGATTTCAACCTATAAGCGCCGAAATAGCGATGGGAACAGATTCCCAGTTCAATATTAACGAACGTCCAGTGAAAATGACCCGGTCGGGGCAGTAATTTTCTATTTACGACCCATAAAGACATTCATTCCTGCACTCGCTATTCGAAGACCGTTTCAGACGCCTCTAAATAATGTATTGCTTAGAAATAAAATAACCTGGACGTTACCTGTTTTTATTTCCATAGGTCTTTTAAATGCACACTCTTAAAGGCATACTTTATGCACGTCGTTTGGTCAGTAATTGGGACAGTGCCCCCGTTTGGGGTGAGGGACAGAATTTGCATTTAAATTTTCAGTCGGTCAGCTATAAATTTGAATATACATTAAAACAAAGTTCTTGATAGAGTTGACGAATGATTATGTAGTATTAGTAGTGTATTTCATTAAGTCTCTTTATCTCATAGGGTTTGTAATAAACTATATCACTATAAATATGCAGAATACAAAACAAATAACATATTAAAAATACTATCTTTCATTTAATAAATAAATATAAATTTCAATAAAGAACTTTTAACGATTACAAACACAAAGTCCATATCAGTTAAAAGCCGTTGTCCCCCTGAAACCACGACTGCTGCAAATTGTCCAATAAAAAAATAGTTATTTTAAAAATAATATATAGGAATATAAACGAATTAAATGAAACAATATTCAATAGTATCAACCGCGTAACGCTGTATTACGTTCATGAAGCCGATATTAACAATATCAATACCAAAAGCTTTTTTATTTGTGAAATAATGCCATCATAATGTATACGATAGGCCACCAAAAATTGGCACTCAACAAACACGCGTGACTAATATTAATTCTACCAAGTTTTAATTAGAGGCCCGAATTCAAACCTTCTTACAACTAACTTAATTAACTCGGAGGTCGGTTTCGAGTAACTGTGCGTACGCGAATTATAATTAAGTATTATCTATGCCAACTTCTGACGTAAAACAAAATTAACTAATAATCCCGAACTATTGCATTCCGAGAAATTAGTTCTATTAATTACTGAGATCAACTCTTGCTTTAGTTGGAATTATTATAGTAATCTGAAATTAAATACCGTCTGTAGCTTACGCGAGTAGTTCTTATTTAAATAAAACCATTTAACGGTTTAAAACGAGATATATATTAGTAAAACTTATTTAGTCACCCCGTGACCACAGCATCGGAAGCATAAATAATTTTCAAATAAGTTTAACTAATATATATCGCGCTTTAAACAGTTAGTGTTTTATTTAAATCTGAAATTAGTATTATCGGTGTCGCTTTTCTTAGTAAGACATAACTTGATGGGAGGCTCATTTCCTCAGCCATACACCATCTAAACAAGATGCGCTCTGACAATATTAAAGTAAGTGCAAGTCAAAGACACACACAAAGGATTCCGTACCATTGTTTTAGTTATTTCAATAGTCTACCCGTTGCCAGTTTTAGATATTGAGAAAAAAAATGAAAAATCAATTGTCTAAAAGTACTTTTATGGCGGCAGATATACATATTTTGGTTTAATAACATAACAATTAAAAGTCTTGTGTTAACGTTAAAATTTCAGATTTGATTAAGAATAAGACTTACTTGTACAGTTTAAAACTAACATTATGAAATGCTATCGCTTATTCATTAAGATGTTTTTTACAGAAAAAAATATATATAATTTGACTTAACTTTCGTTGATTAGACCATTAAATAAAATAATTATAATTTTGCTATAGACGTTTATTAAATGTTAAAATAATTATTCAACCCTCAATCAAACAGTAGCCTCGGACAACCTAATTATGTACTTATCAATAGTCAATAAATTACTTTTGACAAGTTACCTAACTTAATTAACTGAATGAAAATCATTTATTGAGTTTCGGCAGTTTGACACTTGGAAATCCGGCATTATCGCTCTCGCCTTGCCATTCTGATTTAATAATTTAAAATCTATAAAATCTTAATAATACGGATCCAATCAATATCTATGAGTGTTCCACAGATTAAACATTTCTATAATCTTGTTATAGACCAGTCATCAAACGTTTTTTACGCGAGTAGTACACATTTAAATAAAACACCCTCTCCCCGTGACCACGGCTGCTGCAAAGCATCCGAAACGTCAGGCCGAAGTTAAAAACCATTTTCAAATAAGTTTAACAAATATATCGCGTTTTAAACCGTTAAAGTGTTTTATTCAACTGTTTCAAATTGACATTTTATTGTTTTCACGCTTCAGACAATATTAATTTGAATAAAAGTAATAATTAGATTTAAATATCTACATTAATGATGCATTGACTATGATATTCCTTATTCCTATAGCTTCTACACGTACTGACAAAATTGTATTTTTTATGATAATAAAATATTATAAAAATGGAAAGAAAAATACTCCAGCTATATGCCATTAAAACAAGATGCGCGGTCGACCTATTTTTGCCTTTAATATTCGCAGTTTAAAGGCTTATTAATTTTTATCAGTAACGAACTATATGTATATACTTCTACCGGCACATATTTTAGTACATAAAATAGTATAATAATTTTTACGTACTATGATGGTGCTTGAGAATATTTTTCGCACCAATGAACTGGAAAATGTGACGTCACCTTTGCAAGGATAAAGAGAATTTATTAATACACCCGCTGAAGTGGTACATTCGACTAATGAAGTATTTTCTAAAAAATAATCTGATCACTACTGTGATATACAACTTAAGGATTAAATAAAACTTTTTTTGAACCCACCTTTTACTTAAACATAAATATCGTGTGAAGCTTACGCGAGTAAAACAAATACTATAATACATTTTTTAGGGTTTAAGAAGCTGTTTGAATTAAAAATAAGTGAACTAATATATTCGTGTTATTATCGATTTTTAATTTATATAGTGCGATCATGTGCAATAAATAACATGTGAAAAAATAATAAAGATTTCATATTTTAACTTATGCACAGAAGCTTAAAGAACTTTTCTAGCATATAACTAAGCAGATAACGATTGAATACCGTGAAAGCAAAATACAATTCCTAGATTATCGATTAAACAAACGTAATTAAACTTGTCAAACGACAACATTTGAGTCGTAAAACAGAAAATTACAATTAACTTCAATTCAATTGTCTGCAATTTATGTTTGCGAACGAAACTCCCAATGGGACACTTGAGTCAAATTAAACGGGGTCCTACCCAAATTGTTGTTTAAAGGTAAACAACACATTCATTTATCTAATTTTAAAATTATAGCCGAGAACAGAACAATAACTGAAATAAAACCTCCGATCAGTTGAGACTGACCTTTTAGCTTTAAGGGTGTTGCTTAGCATTGTGTTGAGGATTCGAATTTTAGTGAAAGAGATATTGTTTCAATGCGACAAGACACAGAAATCTCACGACTCGTCGTTTAACGGACACAGAAATATGTTCGCCCCATGCCCACTAGAGATAAGGGGACACTAAGCAATTGTCACTTTTTATAAATGCCTTTCTAAGATATTCTAAAATTCGTATTTTTAATAAAAATAAAGCCTTTTAAACAAAAACCTCATTAAAATCTACCCACGCGTTCTGGTGTAAAATGATACATATTAGTCTCCCTCCATTGTTTAAATTGATGAAACCGTTTCTAGATATGAACAATTATTTTAGGGTTGTGTGTATCTAGCCGAGACACTACTACTGTAACACAGGTGTTGTAGAAATATTACAAGGTCATATTAAAACTAGAACCAAATAATTTATCAACAGACATATAATTTGGCTAGCCACCTAATTATGGTCTATAATAGAAGTTAAGTGTCTTTTTAAATTTCTGAACATTTGATGTAGACCGTTGCTCTACAAGCCCCTCGAGCTACCGCATCACACGTGTAACGCCCTTGTGGTAACGAGTTCGAGTCCCGCTTGTACTTTTCAAAAAGTATGTTGATACGCATTTCTTGCCCAAAAAATAATGACTAGAATTCGCGTCGTCTATAGTTAACGTGAGTGACAAATATTAAATCGAACTTTGACTGTTTTAAATACGAAATATATTAGAATGATGGCTAAGTGAATGAACATATAAGTTTTAAGTTATACAATTAACTTTCTGGGTCACATCAGAATAAAATTACGAATGTTCACAGATGATAAATGTATGTTTACATTAGTCTTATTTGGAATTTGTGTCGTCTGAAGCCGTTCTAGCGATACTAGTAATTAATTTGCGGAACGCCGCATCGGGTGATGAGTTTCAACGTGGAATATTATAGAAATACTATTTTATTTAGTTCTTATGTTACAATCTTAAAGTATTTGTAAATATAATAAATACAACACAG